AGAACTGTTGCGGGGAACACAAAGATCAAATTTATTATGTTGTCTGGCACATAATTATACGTAAATTATACATTGTTCCCTTATCATTTTAGGAGGATGTCAAAGTTCAAGAAGAAGAAGAGGAGGATGCCATGTGGAGCACCCATGGTCTACCCTACGACATGTCCCACCCAATTCCCCTACCATCATCAATCTACCACTCCCATTGATTATTATCATGTACCTACCCACTATCCTGTCACATACATGGAGCCCCCACATTCCTATCCTCACTGCTGCACAAACTATTCATCTCCATATCAACCACGCAACCCCTATTCCTGCATACCTCAATTTCCAGTTCAGTCCTCTTTCCTGCCTCAACAAGTCATCCCTTCCTCTTTCCTACCTCAAGTCATCCCTTTTCAACCTCAACCCTGCAGTACTTTCCCACTTCCACCACCTGGCTTATACCTACCACATACACAAACACCACCCTCAAATATTATCTCTCCTCCACCAACACCTTACCCTCCATTCTCTCCTCCTTCTTCAGCTGTTGAAGACAGTGAAGAAAATGATGATTATGCTGCTGATTCTGATAATGTTTGTGAAGATGAAAATGAGGCTGATAGTTCTACCAAAGCTGATTCAAATATTGACAATGAAAATGAGCCTGGTTCTGGTGATGCCATTGAGGATGAAAATGACGCTGATTCAAACAATGATACTGACGATGAAAATGAGCCTGGTTCTGGTGATGCCATTGAGGATGAAAATGACGCTGATTCAAACAATGATATTGACGATGAAAATGAGCCTGGTTCTGGTGATGTTACTGAGGATGAAGATGACGCTGATTCTAACATTGCTGCTGAGGATGAAAATGGGACTTTTATTGCTTCTGATGATGAAAATAACAATGACAATGATGATTCACATGATGACTCTGATGATGCTGGTCATAATATTTTAGCTGGAGAAGTAATTGTCATAACTGATGATGAAGATGAAGAAGTGGTATGTATTAAACTTAATTATGTTATTTTATGATTTTGACGAAATGTAGACCATAGTCTGTGGTGTTGAACTAAACTATATGAAGTATATTCCGATACTGCACTCAATCTAAACCCTGTAGCTTAAACAGTGTTAAATATATATATTACTAAAAATTTTATGTCAAAATTGCGGGTTTAAATGAGAATAAGAATAAAACTTGGCGAATCTTTTCAGTAAGGTAAAATCTGACTCCACTATGTAAACAAAAATCAAAAACTGATTTTAAAACAAATGATAGAAAAGAAAGAATTTTCATCTCCAGCCCTTTGACTTATGTGCTCCGCAAAATTCTGTTCAATACCATAACTTTACTAGCACAATGGGACAGTGTCTGATTATCAGCATCTTTTGAGATTGATAGTTCTTTTGTCTGTATTTGACTCACCAATTGAGATACGCTTTTTCTCTGATCATTTTCACCATCAAGAGAGAACATAAAGTTTGGTCACAATCAAGAATTAAGTGTCTCAGCGCTTGCCCTTCAGCTAAATAATGTCCCACTTGCTGCAGGCCAATAATTTCATTTATTAAACTGCAGTATTTGATGGAGCCTCAGAACCCAATTTCATACAGATATTTTCTGTTTTGCAGGTCAATAACAACATTGTACACGAGGAGACACCTACTTGGGGTACGCAAAGCAAACATACCCAAATCCGATCCTGAAAATAATTGAAAAATTGCTTTCAATGTTTCTAATTGCCGTCCTCTTACAGATGATTGCTGTATATGTACCGAGAGAATCCCACAGGACCGAGACTATATTTGTCCGTGCAACCACACTTTCTGCATTTTATGTATACTGGAATGGGCTGAGGCGACTCCCGATGACCCCACATGTCCTCTATGCCGGCATCCACTTTCTATTGACGACATTTTGGCTGAGCTAGTAGCATCAAATATTCATTGATCCAATAAAAATTTTCTTTGAGAGAGCAAAACTTGCGTTTCTTTTGAAAAGGTACCTACTTTCTGTGGTGATGCAAATTGGCCATGGGATCTCAAGTAGAACATTGGTTGAGATAGGCATCTCTGTTATGAACTAGCTGCTTTGTTTGTGATTTGACAGAGTGGATAAAGAAAGCTATTCTTTTATTGTATCAACTTTAATTACATCCAGTATTGGAACCTGCTGCTACTTCTCAACTGTTATTGATTTGAAGTCAGACTGACCTCTTAAGCACATTGTCAGTGGACGTGACACTGCAAAATATAATCATGTGATGTCCCAAGGTACTTGGTCTCAAGATTCATTTGTCTCAAGTTACTGTCTCAAGGTATCGGGGGCTCAAGTTAGTGTCTCAAGTTACTAACATCGCATCGGGCTAGGTGGGGGAATGTAAGGGACGGACTGAACACTACGCGACTGAGCGAAAACGTTACTGTCACATTGAACAACAATCAATATTTAATTAATTTAAATTCTTATTGATTGAATAACGTTGATAACCGACACTCGCAGGTGGCTACAGAGGTTGGAAGTTTGCCAAAGTTTGAAATCTAGAGGATTGATGGTGGTTAGGAGGCACTAGTTGAGAGAAGAGCAACTGAAATTTATTCAAGTCTACCTATGATCCCGATCTAATGATCTCTGAATGGTAAAGGGACATAATTCAGTGAGAAAACGAGCCGGCTGTTTTTATTTATTGTTTATTTTTCTGTCTGTCTGCTACATGAGGTGGTGGGGAAAACAAAAAGTCGAGCAAAATGTTGCCAACGCCGGACCGAAGCCAGGCGTCTACAAAAAAAAGTACTTTTTCTTAAGCTTTGGTTTTCAAGGTATTGAACATTACTGAATAAATCCGAAATAGTAATTATTGATTAATTAATAAGAGTAGAAATGTGTATCGACGATCATGGTGTTTGGCAGTGAGGCAGAACGGGGGTTGGTAGCACTTGCGCTCAACTGCCGTTCCGTTCCACGCTCTGGAGAGTGGGCGGTGGGCACAACCCTGTGCAAGTTCAAACTGGCATCGGTGTAACGGCCGTTTTTCTGTGTTTTGCAGTGTTTATTTACATCTTGTGTCACTGTTTATTTGGTTGCGCACCTGAATTTGATTTAGATTCACGTCCCTCGCGTGCTGAAATGTGCTGACTCATTAGTGACTAGCTAGGCATCAGTCGGGAAGCCTTGCCGAACCCGTCCTCCTCTCGTCACGGAGGACAATGTGCCGTTCGAAAAGAAGGCTAAGGTGAGTTTCTATGTTATTAGTTAATAAATGTAACGTTTTAATCCATGTCGGCTTTGAATACTTCGAACGCGTATCTCTCTAAAGCCGTTATAACGCCTTTTTGTCTTTACTTTGCGAGGTTAGGTTCTCTGCTTCACTTATTTGAGTGAAGAGTTAAGTCGAAATTCTTTGCTAGGCTGACACAGACGTGCGCTTTGTTATTTTCAGACTTGTTTCCCCATTATGGAGGAGGTTACATTTTCGAATAACCTTGGACTTGATGAACAGGAAAATGTTGACTGGTGAGTTGATCAAGCGAATTTCTTTTAACTTTTCTATCGATTTAGGTCTGTTAAAGGAAAGTGGGAAACATTTGTGTCACTCTTGTTTTTCAGATTAATCAGGTACAGCGATGCATTTCTGTGAGGAGGCACTTGTTCGCTGCTTTATTGTAAAGTAAAATGAGACTCGAGTCAAGGGCAGTTCATCGATGAATCCAAAAGCTGGGGGAGAGAACGCCCTTTCAATCAGATTTTTGTAGTGCAGCCAGCCTGAACTTTCTGACGAGGACTATGCAATGCGGACTTGTTCGTCTCATCTGTTTGTTCTGGCAGCTGAACCCTTCCCCTACAGATCACCAGGTATGGTTGAACATCGTTTCACTGGTGAGGTTTTTTTTGAATGTCACTAGGGCCCAGCATTCATCACACTTTGTGCTCCTCTTGCAGGTAACGTTGTAGGCTGGTGTTGAAAAGGATGCGAACCAATTCGGTGAGAACGTGTGAAGACATGTGTTATCGTGCGGCCCCCTGAACCTGGATTGATCACGTTGCTGCACCCTTCATTCACCACGGTCATGTAACTTTCTACTTCACCTTATGAAGGCGTTTCAAAGGTACTCGTATAGGCCACTGGGTGTGGCGGGCTGCAAGCTGCTCTGTCTAATCGACCAGCCCGTCCCCAGAGGTAAGGTTCTTGTTTCCATGAGTGCACCTACTCCTCCCCGTGCCCATGGAGGCCCTGAGTGTGGCGGGCCCGGTGTCGGCTCGTCCTCTGGAGGGGAGGCGCTCCTCCCCTTGTCCATGGAG